CTCTATGGTTCTGCTGTACAATGACTAAACAAAGGTTTATCTAAATTCTTTATCACCTGTTTCATAGAACTAGTGAAATGCACCTATGAATTTGTTTCAATTTGATATCTTATAACTCAATTATATCATTATAAACAACTCTACTGATGAGAAGTTGATGAATCAAAAGCATTTTGTATGTTTTAATTTGCAATCAGATGAGACATTTATCTGCACTATCTTAACTCGACAAAGAACCAGTCTCCTAAATTATACTGTGTTAGTCTAATTCCAACATTTCATTAGATAATCATCATTTCAATTCTAACTAGCGTTATTCTAACAGTAAATACTATGTAGAGTTGATCCTTTAAATTTATGTGCAAAAGATTATCAGATGTGTATTATTGACAATCCTATGAGTCATCACCATCTATATTACCTTATATGGATGTTATGATAAAGGTCGTTCTCATGACTCATAAAGATAATAGAATGTTATCGTGTCCTATTTCAGCCGTTGTTATTGTGTGGAACAGACAGAAGAAAGAAAATCATGACTCTGTTATTACATGCCGAATTCGATGCAACTTCAGAGTCAACAGCAACAAAGATCCTCGAATCTTTGGCTGGTATGGCTGATATTGTCCATCGTGATCATCCCAAAGTATATACATATGTATTTCGACATGCCGATGAAACCAAAACAAAACTTATTTTTACTGAAATATATGCTAATGAACAGGTATTTCTCGACCATGGACGTGATGCCGAGTTTGGTAAACTTTTACAACAGGCTTTCGATACTACAACAGGTAAAAGTCGAAAAGAATTATGCATTCGAAGTGATATCAATAGTTCCTTATCACGAATAACTGCCAGTATACTCGATCATTATTTACATGTTACTTATATTTCTCTTCAACAAGGGTTTTTTGATCGAAATTGAATTGAGAAAAGAGAAGTGGATGTTCTGATTGTATGTACCGGGTGTGATCAAAATGTTTATGAACAATTAAATGCACTTGTTATTTGTGTCACATGTGTCACATATGAAGAATCCGATGGCAGTAGACAATTAATTGCTGTTATCACAAATATTTCAAGTGAGAAACGGTCGACTGATGCGATCGAAATAGTTTGTTCGCATGAAGAAACTATTCTAAAATTCAAAGATATCATTGATAATTATTTTCAAATTCAATCAATACATATTCAAACAAGTTTTAGTGGTTATATTCGTCATAAATCTTCGTCATAGTGGGAAAAAACTCGACAAAACTCAAAAAAAGCCCGAAAAAATCCCTAAAATCAGTCCCACCTTGGATTGAAATTAAAAATCTTTTCTTACCATCTCAAAACCATTCTACGCCTAGAGAAAATGCATATGTAGATTAGGGATATCAGTTACGGGTTCTGTTCCAAGGAAGTCGTAACCCAATGCCGGTTTCTGTTCCTGGGAAGCCAGGGAACTCATAATGATTTGTCACAGAACAGAAGAAAGGTATGCCTAAACATCGCAGTGTGCTCGAAAAGCTCTCAAACACGATTTGTTAGATGTGTCCGTGCTTCTTGGGAACGGAATCTTAAGGAACTGGAATACTGACATGGCATCTATGTGGACGAAAATAAATTAGCGGTCGAAAAATCTCCAGAAGCCATCTTTATATTTATTTCTACGCAATGCTATAAAATTTACTGTTCACTGAATATGTAGCCGCATAGAGTCTGCATTTAAGACTAATCGATATTGCTCATGAGACGAGACGATACATTTTCTCAAATAATTACAATTCAATTTATCTGTGCCACACTTTATCTACTTTTTCAAAGAATGGTCGATTCTTCTTCACTGTTCGTATACCAGCATTATTCGGATATGCGAATAGTATGTGAACGATGATGAAGTATCTTTCAACAAAAATTCGAGTTTCACACGAGTCTCTGAATCACCGTTTGTTTACTCACTTGTTATCGGTGGACAGATTCGCTGACCAATCATTGACACTGAATACAAACAGGATGATCATGACATCGAGGATGTCGAACACAGATAGTGTCAGGCTGATGACATGCATTGTTTGAAGAGTCACACGCCACAAGGTTAGAACAAGTCACTTCGAGAAAGCCACAGATGCCAGTGGCACCAGCACCTATCGTAAGAAAACAGCCACATGCAGTATTCATTAAACATCGATCATATTGAGCAACTCCATCGCATATCTCAGATCTCACTTGAACTATTAACGAAATAAATTAATAGCTGAACATATAGAATGAACGGGAATCAAACCTGTGACGCTAAAATAGAA